ATGGATTTTATGAGGCAACAGAGACAGTTCGAAGCACATAAACAAACAAAAAAACAGTCCCAAAATGCAAATGTTAAATGTAAAGAAGGGTGGGTGTTTGTGTGTTACTCACTAATGAAGTGCAGTTCAAAGCCTTTGCTGGTGTTATCCGCATTGCTGACAAACTCCAGCCACATGGAGCTGGAGGTGGTGTTCAAAGTTGTCTCAAGCATCTCGCTGCCTGTAAACACCCCCAGCAGACGAGCCTTATTACTGCTGCCATCAAAGACCTGGGAGGAAGAGAGGCAGAGTGGGAGGAAGCATCTGCATTAAGATGATCAGGTGTGCACACGCAGATATGCCACACACACACACACACACACACACACACACACAGATATGCCACACACACACACACACACACACACAGATATGCCACACACACACACACACACACACACACACACACACACACACACACACACACACACACACACACACACACACACACACACACACACACACACACACACACACACACACACACACACACACACACACACACACACACACACACATACACACACACACACACACTTCCCCTCCACCCCCTCACTTTCAGCATGTCATCCTCCTCCAGTCTGAATTCGCGTGCTCGTAGCTGGATGCCTTTTCCCGGCTGCGTCTGGATAGAGTAGATGCACTCGTGGTAGTTGCCGTAGTAACCGGGGTAGTTGGGTGAGAGCAGCACCCCTTGCATGCCAGTCACGGATGAGCCGCATTCAGCTAGAGAAGAAGAGAAGGAGCAGAGAGACAGAAAGGGAGATAGAGGAGGTGTTGGAGAGAGCAGAGGACATGTCAATCGCTATATGCTTGAAACTGGCAGAGTATTTATTCATGCCGTCATGCAGAGGGAGATGGGAGAGGTGATGGAGAGGGGGATAAAGTCGGTAACTACACCTGAATGTTGAGTGGCACATCATCGTAATCACAATGCAATCTGAATAAGATTAACAGTAATTTCAGCTCTATTTGAAAATTGCTTTTTCTGAATCATATCCGGAAAAGAGTGGACAATTTGAGGCGGCTTTTTATGTAGGAAAATAGCTGCCAACATTTACATAGCAACAAATGATTCCTGAATGTTTTCTTTGGCAGCGAGCTAAGATGAGGTGATGAGACTGTCCAAGAGGTGTATACAAAAATAACAAGTTCCTAATATACGGCTGATTTTATATGTGAAAACAAAACAATGTGTCATCGCTGTCAACTTTTAAAAATGCGGATTATTCTGGGCCAAACACAACAAGAGCAGCACATTCTCAGTTAAATATGCAACGAGAACCGGGGCAGAAGAGGCTGTCAAGTAAATTATAATACATTAAAATAGATTGACCTACTTAACACTTGCCTAAACACTGACGATAAAACGTAGAGACAAATCCGATTTTATTGGTGTGGGTAAAGAAAATAAATGTGACTGCACCAAATTACATTTGCTAAACTGTAATTACTTGTTTCCAATGGAGAAATGTCAAAATCTTAACGTGAACAAATTACCTCAGAAAAAAATGTGCAATAGGTAAAAAATACTCCCATAAAATAATTAAAGTAGTCCACAATTTGGATATCCAGAAAAGAGCTATGATTAGGACAAACGCAGCAAGGTCAATCATTGCCTTGGCCTATGGTTTAACTATAATTAGGACCATTAGGATACCATTTGTTTACATATAAGCACTCTAAAGCAGCTCTTAAGGTTTGGAGGATCATATGATCAACATAGTCAATCAATCAATGTTTATTTATATAGCCCAATATCACAAATGTTACATTTGTCTCAGTGGACTTCACAGTTAGTACAGAATATCAGTATTGTAAGGGAATATTTCTGTCTTACTCCTAAGTGTCAAAGAATAATTCTTCCTTACTCCTAAGATATTTAACCTAATTCTGTGTGTTGACATTTACAACCATCCCTGCTTCTAATCTCCCGTAAGGAATGTGTTAATGCAGTCGTATGTTGATACTAGGTTTTATGGCCTGACCTGATGGGCACAGGGGGCGGGGGTTTACGACTGTGAAAACGCTGGCTTTCTAAGCTCCACAGATGTGAGAGACATCTCCTGTGTCTGCAGATGTTTACGCCCATCCCCAATATGTGGATTTGACTCTCTGTAAACTAGTTACAAGGTCTATCGAGAGATAGGCTGGGCAGAATTGACATGACAACCCACCCGTGCAGTCAGAACCTTTTGCTGCTGTGACTTGTGATATGAATTCTCCGGCTGTTGACTTGTAATAAACATAATTGTTTGACATCAAAGCTCCAACTCTCCTCGTGTCTCTCTGAGTCCTGACTCTCCATTGCTGCAGAAGTTTCCCTTACAAGTATGACAATACGACTCCCTCTGTCCTTAGACCCTCACATCGTACAAGGAAAAACTTCCGGAGAAAACCCACAGATTAAAGGGGAAAATGAGAGAAACCTGAGGGAGAGCAACAGAGGAGGGATCCCTCTCCCAGAAGTAAGTTAACGATTCTCCGCTTATTTTCCTTTCGGGTTTTTCAAGGCCAGTGTCATGACTCGGCAGCCGTTAGTAAACCTTCTTTCTGGTACTCGAGACCAAATTTTCCAATGTGGTAATTCGTGTAACGAACTCGTCACCTGCTTACATACCAGCCTGAGAGACATTGGGGTAATTATATGTTCCAATAACTGTGTCATTCTCGCTACGAATCGGGGGGATCCTCCTTCCGGGTGGTTATTTTGTCCTCGTTTATTAATAGATTTCATACACAGGATTCTTTATACATTAATGGCGGTGATCTCTCATTATTACTACCAATCTGTAGTTCTCTTAACTAATTAAATTTACTTAGTTAATCCCATCTCGTGTCTACCAGGAAATGGGTGACTCTCTTAGTAGAAGTGAAGTAAAACGAGAGTGTCGTAGGGATAGTAAACTTTAGGTTGTGTGTCATATTTCTTATATTATTAGTTTACATTAAGGTGTATTAGAGTTATTATTCGAAAGGAACTTCCTCGGATGTAAAATTCTTTATACAGAATGGGGGAGTATCGTGAACTACGAAATAACTAACCTAATCATATGTAACACAACCTACAATAGACCCAAACTACCTATAGAGTTAGCATAATTTGTAACAGACGGGGTGTAAGGAAAATTAGTGCACGCAAAGTTGAAGAATTGGAAATTTCGTATTGTCTCATCCGACAATAGCTCGATGTAAATGGTGTGTAAATTTGTAGTGTCCTGTACCTTCGAATGTTTATTAGTAGTGTCAATTGAATCATACCATACATAATAACTATGCTGATTACGAAAAACAAAAGGTCTCCATACTAAAACACCTCGGACGTCTCCTAGTGCCGTAGGGCGGGATGTCATGGTCCTTCCCAGGACGTCATGCCTCACCCGCTGCGGGAGTAGAAGAGGACCAAAGGGCCCAATGGGCTGACCGTCCCAGGCCGCTCCCACTTAGACGATCCCCCGCGTCCTCCGCCCACACCTCGAGTTGAGACGGTTCCACACACCCTATCCACCAGTGTACACATATAAAATCGAAACAGTTAAGGGGAGATGGGAGGAGTGTGAACGGGAAGAAGTGTGGTTGGGTGGGTAATACATGGTTTTGACAGTTAGTGTAACGTTCTGCTCCGTAAAGGGAAAGTTGAGAGGATAATAGCAGAGAGTAACGCGAACTCAAAACAGAGAAACAACCTATCGAAGTTTCTTTGTTGGAAAGACTGAAACAGTTTAGCTTACCGAATGTAGATTACTTACTGTGAAGTTCTCGACTTTATACAAATAATAACTACAATAACTTCAGTTAAACGTTTTCTAACTTCAGTGATACAATTTTCACTACCGACACCAGGACCTTAGTATTCAGGGACCTACCTATAGGAGCACCTAAGTAGAAGGGATAATAATCTGTGTACGTAAAGGTTTGTAAACCTTGATGGATACAACACTCTTGACATAATTAGAAAGAAGTTAAATAGTGGTGCCGTAGATAACGGTG